GACTATAGTTAATAGCAGATCATAAGTGTTCTCACCACACACGAAAAATGATAAACATGTGAGGTGATGGATATGTTAATTAGCTTGATTATTGTAATCATTTCACAATGTATACTTATATGAAAACATTACACTGTACACTTTAAATATATACAATTTTTACCTGTCAATTAATACCTCAATAAAGCTGATGGAGAGAGAAGATCTATTAACATTCACATACTAGTTTCAGGTAAAATACAAAAAAATTTTCTATTCAAATCAGAAAAAAATATGAAAATAAAATGCAATAGAACATATATTTATAAGCCTATTGCAAAACATGACAATAGGCAAAAGTACCTCAAAACTGTAATGGTTATCAACATGGGAAACTTTTCTGAAGCATAGCATCAGAAAAACATCAACAAATTATGAATGGCAAATGTATAGTCCTACTCTGACTCTTATAATTAAGACACAAATTATTAACTCAAAAATGATTATAATTTAAAAATAACCACATAAATAAAACCCCAGTGAATATGCTCGCTAAGTGTTCATTCTTCCCTACTAAGGAAATTAGCCAACATTCAGTGTTTAGCATAACTCAGGACTTGATGTGTCTGTGATTAAAGTTTGTTGTACGTATCCAAACACAAATGATGCAGATCTTCCAATAACAAAATTGTGCTTCTTTTATTGTATAAGAAACTCAATATGACCAACACTGAAAGGCATCCATCAAAAAAGATAAGTGACTTTGGAATAACTTTTAGGTAATAATAGCTAAACTAGAAAAAAGGAAATTGACAGGTACACACTATTCATTTTCACATCTGATGTGCTGTTCTGGGCATCATACTTTTAAAAATATATGGGCAACCTGGACATTAGTTGCACAGGAATAACTAGAAAAGTAACAAACGAACTTAAATCCCTGCTATATAAATCACAATGAGATACAATTGTATATCTTTTAAAATGGCAACCAAATGTAAAAAAGAAACTGAAAATACCAAGTGCTGACAAGGATTGGGAGCAACTGGAACTCTCATACACTGCTGAAGGGAATGCAAAATGGTTCAGTCACTTTAGAAAACAGTTTGGCAGCTTTCCTTAAAAATAAACATGCACTTATGTAGAACAGCCATCCAAGTCCCAAGTATTTACACATTGAATTAAAAACATATATTCAAACAAAAACCTGTATGCCAATATTTATGAAAGGTCAAGTTCTTATAAGCCTATTTTAAACACACACACACACACATGTTATGTACATATGTACATGAAAATGTTTATGTTAATATAATCATTTGCTAAAAGAAAGGCACAAAAAGCTAAATATTGACTTCTTGTCAAGATGGCAGAAGAGATGATACCCAGTGTCACCCATTCCCACAATCAACAAATTTACAACTATTAAAAAGCAATGGTTGCCAAGCTGGGGCATCCAGAGCTCAGGGGAAGAGGAGGAAAGACGTACGGAGTTCATGAAGGCAGGAGAAGCCACATGAGAGAAAGAAAAGACTTCCACGCATTTCAAGCCTCAACCACTTCAAGGCTGGCCTTTGTGAGCAGAGCAGGTGCTGGCAAAAGCTGTGGCTGTGACCTTTGGATGAAGTTGCTTGGAGGCAGCAGGGGAGAAGAGAGCCTTGGAGGCCCCCAGGCCAGCAAGACCACTAACAGGGTTCTGATGGGCCCACATAGGAGCAAGGTGCCACAGACAACTGAAAAAAGGAGCCCCTCAGAGGCTGGCGAGTCATCACAAGGGACCAGAGCATGGCCCATCACATGGGAAATATTTGGGGGGGGGGAGATGAGCCCACAGGGGAAACACTGGGGCACAGCATGGTCAGCTGATCTGCCCTCCAATCAGCACAGGACCATTCAGTGGAAACTGGTCAGGAATACAGAACTGCAGAGGGTGCAGTTTGCTGAAAAGACTCAGGCCCAGACCAGAGTTTCCACATAACCCAGGTGTGCCAGACCTCATGAGATCTAGAAGTGCTTACAAGGTGAACAACTAAAACCTGAGCTGCGCAAAAAGTGTTCCGCAGAGAATCAGCAGCAGCAAAGCAGCAATTTAGCTTAAACACAGGACTCGAGTGCTGGTACCCACAGGAAGTTCCCCCAATTTAGAAATAACCACAGGACAAATTCATTCCAGTACAGAGTTTAAGTGGTAGGAATAGTGAATAATCCAACAAAGAACTGAAAGAAAAAAACAAAAAACCCACAGATCAGAGACAAAGTTCTGATACCAACACTGCCAAAGAACACCTATAAAACCTAAAAGGACTGGAAGCCCCCTGGGCTCCCAAGCTAGGGTGGGGGGAGGGCCAAGGGCCTCAACCAGTCCCCCTGATATCACACCCAGCCCAGTGATGACCACAGAGCAGGAGCCATAAATGCCCCAGGCTTCAAAGCTTGGGCTGTAGGGGACCAAGGGCCTCTGCCACACCCCACCCCCTGCCCAGTGTCTGCACCGAGCCCAGTGATGACCACTGAGCCACTGCTGGAAGCCCCCTGGGCTCCCTTGCTGGAATAAGGGGAGTGCCATGGGCCTCAACCTTGCCCCGCTCCTTCCTCCTTTTCCCACCCTTTCCCTTCCCCTCTCCACTTCCCCCCCAACTGCTCCACAACAACATCTTAGAATGTAGAAAAAAAAAGGAATTAATTAAAAAATAATAAGGCAATAAAAAACCAATGGTCAGAGCAGGAACAATTTGAGTCACAAAATAAATAATATATTAGATATTAACCTAAATAATAAAATAAATTTCCATGAGTTCACATAAATAATGGTATAAATAAATAAAAGCAGGAGAAGGAACACTCTTCCTTGAAGAATTCCAGTTAATAAATGTAGGAGTGAAGGAAATAGAAAATCAGCAATAAAGCAGCAGAGTAATAACCACTGCAGGCAAAATCCAATCACAAATGCTAAAATTAGAAGGTGAAAGTTTAAGGGAAAACAGAAGATGTCACCTCAAAGTATCTCTTCTAAAATATTTATGAATTGTGTGAAGGAAATAGAAAATCAGCAATAAAGCAGCAGAGTAATAACCACTGCAGGCAAAATCCACTCACAAATGCTAAAATTAGAAGGTGAAAGTTTAAGGGAAAACAGAAGATGTCACCTCAAAGTATCTCTTCTAAAATATTTATGAATTGTAAAGGGGAAGTAGTGATTTTTACAGTGGAGAAACTTGGTGAGAACCACCTTAACCCTGAGATCAAGGTTAACATCACCAGTAATAAGGTAATAATGATCCCATGACATCATGCATACAGAAGGACACGGCCTCTCTCTGGTACTCTTCCTCAAAGTGTACTTCAATTTAATTATAGAAAAACAGCAGACAGGTCCAGACTAAATACATCCTATGAACCACCTGGGCCACACTCTTCGAAAGTGTTAAGGTCATGAAAGAGGGAAAGAATGAAAAACTGAATGATCCCATGACATCATGCATACAGAAGGACACGGCCTCTCTCTGGTACTCTTCCTCAAAGCGTACTTCAATTTAATTATAGAAAAACAGCAGACAGGTCCAAACTAAATACATCCTATGAACCACCTGGGCCACACTCTTCGAAAGTGTTAAGGTCATGATAGAGGGAAAGAATGAAAAACTGTGGTACTCTTCCTCAAAGCGTACTTCAATTTAATTATAGAAAAACAGCAGACAGGTCCAAACTAAATACATCCTATGAACCACCTGGGCCACACTCTTCGAAAGTGTTAAGGTCATGAAAGAGGGAAAGAATGAAAAACTGAAATGGATAAGGAGATACGATAAAAAATGCAGTGTGAGATCCTGGATTGGATCCTGGAGCAAGATAAGGATGTTAATAAAAACACCGATAAAATCTAAATAGAATTTATAGCTTAGTCAATAACATTGTACCAATGTCAATTTCTTGGTTTTGATAAATGCACTGTGTTTATATAAGATGGTCCCATTAGGGAAAGCTGAGTGAATGATATTTGGGAATTCTTTGTACTATTTTTCAACTTTTTTTATGCCTATGTCAAAATAAAAAATTTAAATGAAAAATATCTGCCATATTAAAAACAGGTGAAGGGGGTGGGTGGTGCAGGTATTAACCTGTCAAACAGAAGCTTCAAGGGAGACATGAGAGCTGATTTCAAAAACCTAAAGAGATGCCATGGAGAGAAATTATATTTGCTCTGCCTGGGCTTAATGAGTAAAATTAGGACCAAGTTTAGAAACTAGCTAGAGACATATTACAGCTCACTAGAAGATATCATAGAATGTTCCAGAGATAGAATGGGCCACTTCAGAAGATGGCTTTGTATGACTAAAGGTGACACAAGGTTTTGATGATCACTCCTCAGCTACATTCTAGAGAATTCCTCCGTCACCTTGCTCCTCAAAATGTGGTCCAAAGACCAGCATCATTCACACCAGTATCACCCAGGAGCTATTAGAAATGCAGAAATCAAAATGTGAAATTCTACGGGCTTTATATGATGATAAAATTACGAGCGACTATAACATGTACTATTTCATAACTTTTGTTTAACATTTTAATAATTTAATTTTTAAACAATTAAGAATAGTCTTTGAATATATTCAATTACTATTAATAAAATTAGAAAATTAAAGGTCTAATTAACTTAAATGTAGATTCTGAAAAAAATTGTTTATGCTAATATAAAAACACTGACAAAAATATGTTTTCAAGGTAATCTTTCATTTATCGCATTATTTTTACTACCATTCTTAAGTTCTATACTGTATTTGTGCCTTTTTCCCCACATACACATTTCCCAAGGCAAATTCTAAATTAATGATGCATTATATACATAAATAGAATTAAAGTTCTTACTAGAACAGTAAAAGCTTCATAGATTTAATATTGCTTTAAAATTATTTATGCAAATGAGAAACACATATAAAATTGCTACAGAAAGATGTGTCACACAAGCAAGGAACATAAATAGCTTTTATATTTCCTAATAATAACATTAAAAATTCAGAAAATACCTCCTGTGTTTTTTAAGCCATAATTTTTCCATATAGGATAGACTGTCATCTTTAAATTCAATATGAAGTGGTTCCCTCCAAATTTTTAGATTAGTTTGTACTTCACATTCTTCCATTGAGTCTATAAAAATAAATACAATGTGCATAATTAGTGTAAACAAGCCTATAAATGACCATAACTTTTCTCAAGATATAGAACTCATCATTTTTGAGGCATATGTGCTTTGATACTTATATAATCAATAGGTTAAGGTTTAAATAATGTAGAAGTGTTAAATATTGGTGATTTATTAAATGATTATGTAGAGAGTTTTCTTCAATAATCCCTTGAAATGAAAGGGTTTTATGATTCTTAACGTTTTTTAAAGCAACTAATTCTTTTAAATGAGAAAGATAAATACACAGATTTACCATACATTCTATAAACACACACATAAGTAAAGATTTGTATTATACCCACTGGCAATAAAATTTACACATTATGGGAAACAAAAAATAAATAATTCAGAATGACATCTAGAAGGAATGAACTGTCCTCATGCATTTATATTTATATGGCAATTTACTTTCAGATGCTTAAGGTATTTCTGAAGTACTACTAAATTAAAATCATTATTCAGAGATATTTAAAATTGATGAAGTTTTCTGGGGAAAAAACAAAAAACAGTGTAAATTCAGGATTACCTCCCAGATTTTTCCCCTCTCTCCAAACTGAACATCATAGGGGAAAAAATGCAGGAGGAGAAAGGGAAGTAGTAAAGATGGAAATAAACTATTTTTACAAACTCTAAAACTAGAGGCAGTCCCAACCTCATACTGCATACTTTAATGATTAGCTTCCAGAAACAGCCAAGTGCCAGCAATAGAAATAAACCAAAGAATGTAAGTCACCCCACTGCTATTCTTCTCAAAGAGTAGAGCAGCATTGAAGACAGTGACTGAAGGAGGTTCTGAGAAACTCCAACCAGAATCCATTGAACTGAAAGAGCAGTATTAAGAACCTGAAAAAGGAGAAAAGGAGGTGCCTCCATATGAGTCTCCTTTTCCATTGTAAAATAAGAGATTTCTTAACAGGAAAACTGAAAGAAAAAAAAATTAGGACTCACTTTTTTTTCATCTAGGTCATAGAGAAGAGCCACTTGAGACATAACCTCCAAACCGAGAAGGGTGATAGGCAGGAAGGAGTTACAGCAGCTGGCACATGGTAAGATCACTGAATTCCATGGGTATTAGCTGTACTCCCTTCATAATAAAATGAGTGTCTTGGTCTGAGGCTATGTTGTATGAGATACCAGGGGGATAAGTAAAGCTCCTGCTGGCAGACACATGGTATGCAGAGAAAGCAAATCCATATCTTAAATACATAGCTTTTCCTATGAGGACAAACCACTGTCCCCTCCACAATGGAAAGGGTCCAATATAATCATTTTGTATCAGCTACTCCCTGCTCACCACATCTACCTAGCATGATGCCTTCAATTGGACCGGTAAGCATTATTGTCTACAATCTCAAGATAATCAAGATCCTTTCAGACTACAAAACAATAGAAAGGAGGAGATTTAATGTAAGTCTGAGTGAGTGTGAAGACATACTGTTATCCCAACACATGAAAAAAGAAACACAACTATATCTGATTTTCTTTATTGATAGAAATAGAAAAAACACACTTGTTAGGTCAAGAATCAAACTAAAGCCCTGGGGCCAAATCTGGCTCACTGTGTTCTTCTACAGCCTGCGAGATAAGAATGGTTTTTACATTTTTAAATGGTTGAAAAAAATCAAATGAAGAATAATATATGGTGACTTTAAAAAAAAATTATGAAATTCAAATTTCTATGTTCATAAATAAACTTTATTGGAATACAGCCACACATTTGTTTATGCATTGTCTATGACTGCTTTCATGCTGTAATGGTAAGGTTGAGTAGTTGAGTAGCTCTGAATGACCTGCAAAGCCTAAAACATTTACTACCTGGCCTTTTACAGAAAAAAAGTTTACATGCTCTGTGGTAAGTTAATAGCTGCTCCTCAGTGACAGAGAATGAATGGTTTTCTCCAGTAAAGATACTAAATCCAGAAAAACAACTGTCATTGGCATCATTATCATCTGACAAAGTTTACTTTATAATCCAGTCATTCTCCAAGACCGTTGGCTTTTGCACCTAATTGGTAAGTTACATGGGAACATTTTTTAAAAGCGGTATTCCTGCATCTTTCAAGTATCTGATGATGGCATTAATCTCTGCATTCCCAGAAATGTAGTGATGTTTCTGGCATATTAGTTTAGTATGGAAGGGAGGGGTGACAGTTCTAGGGTCCTCTACTTATGTACTACCATAACGACCTTTATGCCAAGGACAGATTACCAATGTAGGGATTCTTCCCATTAGTATCCATTTCCAATATACATTCAGGACTAGGGAAATAACTACAAAATGGACTCTAACTCCCAACATATCCTATATGCAACAGAATCACGACAAGACTTCATCTATCACTTTACCTTCGTAAGCCTCTGTCACTGACTGGTGGACTATGGTGATACTTAGGGTCCCCAGGATTAAGTGTCAGTTCAGAGACAGAATCTAATCACACCTTTAGGGGTCTGGGTATTACCTTTCCTCATTGCATGTTTATCCTGGTAAATAGCCATAAATTCTTCTAGTGAAGGCTTCGAGTAAGATACACAGTGTACACTGTAGCCACATTGCAGAATTCCTTGATAGACCCAGCCTCTTCCTCAATTAAGAGGTTCCAGATCTGTGAACTGTCTTAGGTCTGAAAACTTCATAAAAACTCCAAGTACCCAGTATGGTGGCCCAATTCAGGTCTCTGACCATCAGACATAAAATTTCTACTTATATAGGTAAAACAGTAGGCTGTACAAATTTCTCATTCCTGGGTGCCCCAATTAGTATCAGAAATATTTCTGCAAATTAAAACATTCCAATTACTACTCTTCCTCGCTCCTAATTTGGATCATTTTTCAGCCACAATTTTAGCAATTACGTTCCAACATCTGGCCTCTTCCATTCCAGGTTTCCATTATTCCTTTGAAATCAGGCAGCTCAATTCCATTGAAGCATCTCACCCACAATCATCCTCAGCCTACTAAGGAAAGCCACAAAAAACATTTTAAGGATTCTGGTGCTTAATACCTTGGTGATGAGAGCATCCTCTGAGCCCTCATAAGGAGTATAGTTAAAGGACAGCTGAGTAGGTTGCACGTTATCAATTCCAACATTCCTATCTCCCAGAGTCTTCCAATTAGATCTCCTACACAATGTCAGGAAAGTTCCATCATATCAGTCTCATTAACTGTAAAATTAAATCCAGGCTCCAGTTAACCAACCTGGCAGATTGTTAATACCATTCCTGAAGTGCTTGAGCCAACACAGTGAGACCCAAATACTGTGTGAGTACATCTATAGTGATAAATTCAACCTAATCTTATACTTTTTCTGCCTTAATATAATACTCTTAAAATCTCTTCCTCTACTTGCTTCCCAGACTTGTGTGATATGACTGACAAGGTGCTGAAAATTCCTTAGTGCATGCTATTTTCACCTGGTGTGGACATGGCATTACATTTCTCTTGACAAGTTATGCTGAAATTTGATTGATTCTTTGACCTCTGCTTAAACTTTAAGTTACAGAATAGGTTGTGACTGCTTTTGCATAGGTCTTCCCTCCCTCACCCACAGTACATAGTACGTACTTCATATTTGTTGACAGAATTATTATGAAAGGAATATTGTATACCTCTAATACTTAAAACATCACTTGTGCCCAAATATTGGCAAATGTTAAAAACAAAATATATTGACAAAGAATAGTCAATAATTATTTCACAAGTGATAGCCAGTTAAAATGATAATCATTGTCTATCAAAATAGCCAAAATCAAAAAAAAAAAAACAAAACTAGAAAATATGGAGAAATAGCCATCTTACATACTACCAGTGAGAGTTTAACTGACACAGTAATCATTTTAGAGAAAAAATGGATAATACTCACCAAAATTTAATGAAACAAATCACCACTAAGACATTTTCATATTTCGAAGTTTATTTTAAGGTAATTGTGTAACTGCGCAAATAGCTAAGATGGCTATCATAACTTAATTTTTATAATACAAAGAATAAGAAACAAAATACCCATCAATAAAGGTCTGAAAGTCATGCTATATAGAATATGATGCAACAGTTATAAATGATTATGTATATCTGTATTTACATAGAAAGTTGTCCCTGACAGAACTGCAGTGAAAATACAAGTAAACTAATAGAATATATAATTTTACCTAATTTTTGCTCCTGTGTATTTGGGTGTGCCTGTGTCTGCAACTGTATCTATTGTAAAATATATACCAAAATGTTAACATTGTTTTTCTCTAGATGGCAAACTATTGGACTATTTTCTTTTTCTTCTTGGTAATTTTCTTTTATAAATAAGTATTCTTAAATTATAATTATATTATTTTTTTCGTATAGGTATTTCTATTACGAAAAAAAATTCTAAGAATGGTTTGGACTTCTGGTGATTTCTCAACTCAGTAATGGCATTATTTTAAACACTATGCCTTTCAAAATAGACCATTAAAAAGGTATTTCTATTGAAGACTTAGAAATAAGTCTTTATTTCAGGGTAGAAAAGTAAAATTTTAAAAAAATACATTAATATATGAAATTACAAATATAAAGTACATGAAATAGTGCAGTAAATGAGAGTTGAGGTACTTACTAAGGTGCGTAATACTAAGAAAAGAGCATAAAAATAGTTTTGGAAATATGAATATCATGAACAAATGTAGGAAAAATATTTAAGGGAGAGAACATTATTTAGTAAAAAATCCAATTATAATTGAGAAGATGATGTGTGGTACCTTGACATTATGAACTACATTATGTTATAAAGGATATATAATTAGATGTTCCTTCTACAGAAAAGAATGAAACAAAATTAGTAAAACTGGATGCCTCTGTCAAGTAAGATATGTGATTGGAATTTATTATCTAACCCTTTATATTCAATGAAAAGCAAATGGAAGACACTACAGGACTCTGAGTAATAAGATTAATAAATTGAATACTTTAAAAACTTTTGATTTTCCTCAAGAGACACTGGAAAACTTATAACAAAGATACTGCACACTCACTCATCTAGTCCTTCAATGTCTAGAATATGGGAGTGAAAATCATCAAGGACAAATAAAAACAAGAAATACCTCTTCAAAATGAAAGAAAAGCAATTAAAACACAAATTCTCCCAAGTTTACAGGGGTCCTTGAAATCATATTTTTTAAAACACATATAAAAAGATCGTTTTACTTCTCTATCTCACAGATCCTCCCATTCTATGTGTCAAAAAAGAACTAGCTGTCCCAATAAAAATTTCCTGCTAGGAGAGAAAGAACTGAAAGAATCCAATTCTCCATTCATTTGACAGTTTGAATTCACATAGAAAACAAACGCAAATACCCCAGTGTCCAATTCAGGGTCTATAAATATTAAACCATTCACCAATGATTGTACAGTGCATACTCCTTTGAGGAGTTACAGAAAATGTTACCCCAATGTTTATAGGCTCTGAAATTGCATTTATATTCACAGAGAATGGAGATAAATAGCACGAAGTCATCTTTATTTTACAACATTCACGTTATAAAAATAGCCATACCTGGCTTGGCTGCATGTAAGTTCTGTTTCTCCTCGTTGTCATGATTTCCAGTTCTCCACTGATTTAACACTTCCTGAGAGGACCGGGCAGAAGCTTCTTCATCAAATGACCCTTCACACAAGGGCCTATCTCTTGGATTTGCACATTCTGCTCTTTTTGCTGTTGTAATTTCTGTCTAAACCAATTAAAAATGTATCTAAGTATACTTTATTAATTTTTTTGTATCTTAAAATACAGGTAGGACTGATTATTACTCATTAGAAATCAGACACTTTTTTTTAACTTAGAATGAAATGTTTTTAAGTCGTACTTATTCACATGCTTTACTCTCTCCCTTAAAACTCTATTGGCAATTATAAATGGTCTCTTCAGAAATTATTAAAACAAGAGCCTAAAGGACTTTTGACTTATAATTATGCTATTCACCAGTAGTCTTGGAAAGCTGCAATACTCTTTCATCCAGTCATCCTACTTTCCTAATCACCTTCTCCTTGCAACCTTCCCACAGCAGAAAGAGCAGTTTTCTAAAATGCTCACGCCCCGAGTTCCTACCAGCACCTTCAAGGCCCTGCATGACCTGTACTCCCCTGTCTTTTATTTCACCTCCTTCCATTCTCCCCTTCATTCACCCTGCTCCAGCTAAACTCACATTCTTGCAGTTCTGGAAATCCATCATCAAACACATTCTCTCCTCAGGGTCCTGCACTAGCTATACTCAGTGCGTGGAATGAGCCTCCTCCATGTCCTCACATACCCATCCCTTCATTTTATTCATCTCTGCTCAAATGTCACCTACTCAGACAGCTCTTTGCTGATTATCCTAAAAATAACAGTTCTATTTTCTGCCATTTTATAATCTCTTAACTGCTTTATTTTTCATTCCCTAACTTATCTCCATGTGAATTTACTCTACATGTTTATTTCTCATTGCCTGTCGCTTCCCAGTACAATATAATGACATTGGGGTTTATGGTTTTTTTTCCTCAGTGTCAAGAGCAGTGCCTGGCACCAAGCAGGTGCTCATTAAATGTTAGTGGAACGAATGAACAAGTTCATCAATGCACATGAAACACTACATGATCCTCAACTTAATGATGGGGAGAAAAGACAAATGCAGTTCAAAATATAGATTCAGTCTGAACATACAAAAGAAAATGAAGGTATGATTTGGCAATTATCCAGTGGATCAGAGAAAACAGCCAAATTAGGAAGTTCAAGCAAAATAAAACCCACGCAAAGGCTGAATTATCAAATGTGGTTACTACACTGATCAAATTGCTACATCTCCATTGTGTATCTTTTAGACACAAAAGTATAAATCCTTATGTTCAGCTCTTAATTGAAAAATAAATGGGCAGACTGTTAGAATACAACTGAGAGTATATTGTTAAAGATGTGTACAAAAAAATTAAATAAAGCAAAAAGCATCTGAGAACCTGTTACACACTAGACACTGTGCTAGCTGTTGGCCACAGAAACACAGGTTAATAACTTCACAATAGAAATGGTTGCAAGCAGTAGGTATAACACAGAGCAGGTAACATCTTAATTGCATTTTGAAAGATAAAACAAAAATTCCATAAGCAAAAGTGGCAAGATTCTCTCAGTATTCCAGAGAGAGGGAATGATACATGAGTATATGCTAAGAGTATATGCTAAGTATATGGAGACAAACAGCACTGTAGCATGGAACCATAAGTAGTTTGTATCGATATGGCAAAAAGTGGAGGATGAGAAAATATGAAGGGTGAAAAGACAAGCAGGGGAAGACCATGAAGCGCCCTGCCTGCCATACAGAGGAACTTAGACTTAAAACTATTGGAAATTCAAAACCACTGAAAACTTCCACATGGTAGTATGAAAGAGAGAGAGAAGTTGGGGAATAGTGAGTTTGGATACAAGGAAACCAATAAAATGTGATAGCCATTTGGCCATTTTGACCAATATTACAAATGCATAACCCTCTTTGCCTAGGAATTTCAGGTTTTTAGCATATTGATATACTTATATATATGCAAAACAATATTTTTTTAAATTATACTTTATATTTTAGTTTGTACTGGGAAAAGATGGAAACAACATAAATGTTGATCAGTGGAAGAGATTTTTGTAAGTCATCAACACCCAACAAATGGAGTATTTTACAGCCACTACATAGAATGAGAAAGTTGCAGAATGTACTTTTATGAATATGAAAACTACATTGTTAAGCACAAAAAATAGGTTTGCAGGCAGTATACAAAGTATATTAACATTTGTGTAAAGAAATGCATACATACAAAATTGAAAATGTTGATTGACTCCTGGAAGGAAAGAGAATGAAATGCACTTTCCACTTTATAAATCTTTTGTTTTTTAAGAAAAAGCTAATTGACAATAAAAATAGAAAAAAGTGCTCAACCATTCAAGAGAGTTTTTAGATGGTAGACTGCATGGGACATGGTAACAGTTATTAACTAACTGTGCCCCCCCGTAAAATTCATTTATGGAAGCTCTAACTCCCACTGTGACTGTAATTGGAGATAGGGCCTAAAACAGGGCAATTAAGGTGAAATGATGTCATGAAGGTGAAACCTTAGTTCAAAAGGACTGGTATCCTTTTAAGAAGAGAAAGAGATGCCAGAGATATTTCTCTTTCTCACACACACACAGCAATAAGGCAGCCACCTACAAGCCAGGAAGAAAAGCCTCACTGGAACTGAATCTGCCAGTACCTCGACCTGGGACTTCTAGCATACAGAACTGTGTGAAAATCAATTTCTGTTGTTTAAGCCACTCGGTCTGTGGTATTTTGTTATGGTAGCCTGACCAAACTAACAACAGTCACTGAGTGGATGCTCAGTGAAGGAAAAGAAAGGACTACAGAAGATAACTGTCTTTGTCGGCTTGGAAAGCTAGATTGGGTGCTGCCAACAGTAACATCTACAGGTTTTGGAAGACAGAGGATGAGTTTAATTTGAAGATACTGAGTTTCAGGAGTATGTGGGAAGGTATCCAGTAGCAATATGTCTGTGTGTCTAAGTATGTATGCTGCACTAATGAAGAAGCACTGAAAACTCAGTGGCTTAATACAAAATGGTTTAGGTACACACTGATTCTAGCAGCTTTCCAGGGCAGTTCCCTTCTAAGCAGTGAATAAGAGATGTAAGGCATTTGGACTCAAAGCTATGGCATTGGAATACCTGACTTGCACATAGGAAGTATAGAAAAAAGCTAGAGAGTTGTACATTGGCTCTTAAATATTTCAGCTCATAACTGTCACAAATCACTTCCACTCAGAGTCCAATATAACCCTGCTCAATTCTCAAGGTGACAAGAAACTTGAAGGATCATATGGATATCCAGTGCTATGCATTCATTACTCTCCAAGCACATGATATCTCAGTAATATGTGTCTTAATATTCACAATTCCGGAAGAGAAAACAGGTTGAAAAATGCTAAGTAATTTGCCTAATGTTATAAAGCTATAAGAAAACCAGCATCAGTATTTCAAACCCAGGTTTTAGTCTCTAAAATGTAAGCTCTTTTGTGACCTGCACCCCTATCCAAGGATTCCCCATTGGCTTGAATCCAATTTTTAAAAAACCATAAAACAGATATCAGGTTTGGGCACTATTTTGACTCTTCCAGCCATTAGAATTGCTTGGGAGTACCAATTAAAAATCAGACTCCTGGGCCCTATCCAGATGTAAAAAGAAAAAAAAAATCAAAATTTGGGTAGCAGACCCAGGAATGCACATTTTTATCAAACTCACCAGTGCTTCTGATTCTTACAGTTTGAGAACCACTGCTCTTCAGCACAGAGAAATACCAAGCCTATGAGGGAGCTATCTCTTCAGTGTGTGCACAGGTTCACACCTGAGGGTCTACAGCAGTAACTCCCAACCAAGAATACGCAACAGAATCACTGAGTAGTTGTTAAAACCACACATGTCTGAACCCCACGCACAGAGATATTAAACTCAGTCATGTGTATTTCTTTAACAATTCTCCAGTTGATTTTAATATACACCCCTGTATAAAACCACTGAATTAATGGTTTTTAAGTTAAGACAAGAGATTGAGGGTATATACAGCATACATAGTTACCTATGGAGATAAGAGAAAGTATTTATTGTAAGGATTAAAAGCACGAAGGAGTCCACTATACAGCTTTCTAGTAGGGCCAGTTACTTAACCTCTCTCTAACTTTCTCTGCTAACTGGGGGTAATAACAGCACAAAACATATGGTTATTGTGATTATCTGATAAGGCAGGTAAAGCATTAAGAGCAAGGACTAGTATAAGGTATTCAAAAAATGTTAGCTGCTGATTTATCACTATCATTTTTGATAGGATAAATTAGATAAGATGGCAGCCATGAAGGAGAAACCACAGCTTCTGTATAATGGTTAAAAACAAGTAACTTCAATTCAGAAGGTCAGAGCTCAAATGTAAGCTCCACTATCAATGACACCTTGGCTAATTTATGAAAACTGCTTTCTGCCACTATTCTCTCATCTGAAAAAAGGAACAGTTAAAAGAAAAAAGGAGATAAAATATTTAGGGCAGTGTCTGGTCCTCAATACATTATTATTACAGTAATGAGACTGTAACTCATTCAGTGATTCTTCACAAAACATCATTGGCAAGTCTATTAGAAAGCAAAATCCATGTAAATACATTGACTTTCCTGGAAAATTCAAGCATAGTTCCTCTGCTGGAAAGAGGTTCTATGAGCATGGGTTTGTAATTCAACAGACTTAAGTTCAACAGACTTGGTCACCAAGTAACAAGCTATGTGACTTTGGCCAAGTTCCCCATAGTGTCTGAACTGCAGGGAAAAGGTGAGTGATATCTTAAAAAAGAGGATTATAACATAGATCAAAATTTGAAGTTTGTTTCTTGCTAAACAAAAAACAAGCCTATTGTAAAAATATAGACTTGTGCTGATAAAAGCTTATCTAGCACACTGTTGGATAAGTAGTCAATGTGAATAACAGCCAGAATTTTGTATTAATCTGGTTTTAAATAACTGAAAAATTGCCTGTCACCTAAAGCTCTTGACAAGATTTTGTATTTTTTGACTCTTTCAAGTCCTGACTAATATAAAATTGTTATATTGCATTGCGGGTTTTTGTTTGTTTGTTTGTTTCCCCCAAATACTGATTCAATTCCTGACGTAGTGGAAATGCCTGGCAAGTCATAGGATCAATAAATAGATCATTCATCCAAAAGATCAGTGTTCAGTGGAATAAAAGCAATCTCCTTGAAAAGATTTTTTTATGGTCAAGATGTATTTGATTTATAGAAAACATATTCATAGGAAGTAACCATGTGATAAAATAATCTGCAAAACTCTACAGCTCTAGTTAAGTCTATGAATGACAGTCAACATGGTCATGTATGAGAGAAATTGTCCACTATGTTTTCCTCAGCTTACCTCAGAGCTGCTCCCTTGTAGAAGTAGAGATTTGGGTTTATGCTGACGTTTACTGGTCTCTTTTGTAGAATTATTCTCTCTTTTGGATTCATCTGGATTTACTTCCTTTATAAATCGATGGGCAACATCCAATACACTGGAAAATATTTGAGATTTTGCCTATGAAAAAGAGAACAAACTATGACTAAAAAGCCTAATATGTCAAACTAAGTAATTAATATATATGAAATTATATTTTCATTATTCTATGGCTCCTGAAATTCAATAAATTTTATTTAATATTTAAAAAAACAAATAGACATTTGTATCAACCAATATAATGGTTGACAGTTGCCATCAACTAAGGGAACTAGTTTGGGCTCAAGCTATCCAAAGCATATTAAAAGCATATAATTTATTCCTCAAGGAAACCCTAAAACGGAACATTTTTTATCTCTGTTTTAGGAATAAAGAAACATAGTGAGGGGATGACAGAGCAGAAAGTGACCCCAGGTGTGTATAATTCTAATGACTCATGGCCTTGCCACTATGCCAAATAGTGGAAATAGAGAGCTGTGTTATTTTGTGCATGTCTTGGCTAAAGAACTAAATATAGCTAATGCGGGAAGAGCCTGAATAAGCAGTAATGAGCATTTCTTGGTGATAAAACATCTTTAGAAAATATTCACTATTCAAAAGTGCACAGCAGGAAGTGCCGTTATCTGTAGCTCCCTAGTAAACTCCAAGTTGTTTCTCATTTTGTGCCTTTGCTCGTGAGGTTCGCTTACCAGGAAGGCCCTCCCAGACTCCTACTTTACCTTCTAGACCCATCCCATGTTACTCCCACAGATCTAGAACCTTCCCCTGCACCCTCCGCCAACAACTGTGTGAGGTACCCACCCTCTGCATCCCATTAACCCCCTGAGTAGATGTCTACCAGCCCTTACCATATTGACTTTACATCACTTTTGGTGTTGATCTATCCCATCATACCATATAAGCTCACAAAAGGAAAAATCATGATTTTTTAAATTTTATATGGCTATCACAGTTCCCTGCAAATAGCATACGCAGAAAATGTGTTTTACCTTTAATTTCCTAAAACTGGAAGTATTACATTTTTTATCTAATAGATTTGAACATTTTTCCTTCCTTTAAAAAAACTCACAAAACTGTAATTCTGCATACAATTGCCTATGCAAATTAGGTGGTTTAATTTTTTTTTTGTTTTAAACCTATTTTTATATTTGACCATATATTTAAAACTATATATCATTGTCCCACCATATTAAAATGTAAGAAATAGAGGTTCCTCCCTATTCATGAATATGCTCCCCAGAGGTAACTTCTGTGAACAGTTCAGAAGGTATCCCTGTGACCTTTTGTCTCTACTTAGAAAAACACATCTAGATTTGCAACACAAAACACATTATCTTCACTTAATAATATAACAACTATCACTTTAAGTACTAAGTAACTAATAAACAAGAATTTGAAGATGATTGCTATAAAACTTTAAAATAGATAACAATGTGTATTAAGTGTCATTAACAATGTTCTATATGTTAATAAAATATTTTTAAATTTTAAAACTCAAAGATAATTTTCTTTTCACCTTCTAAAGATGAAAAGTTAAATATTAAATGTTCTATATGTTAATAAAATATTTTTAAATTTTAAAACTCAAAGATAATTTTCTTTTCACCTTCTAAAGATGAAAAGTTAAATATTACAATACTAATAGGTAGCAACAGGAGGAGAGAGAGACTGAAAATATGTAAAATTACCTGTGCGACTGCTCTACATGCTAAAAATGTATTAAAATCAAACCAAAACAGCCTTCAGGACAATACTAATAGGTAGCAACAGGAGGAGAGAGAGACTGAAAATATGTAAAATTACCTGTGCAACTGCTCTACATGCTAAAAATGTATTAAAATCAAACCAAAACAGCCTTCAGAGTACATAGTAAATCATATATCTCACTGTAGGATAGAAGTTTAAACTGGAGCATAGTATGTGATTTACTGCCAGCATTTCCAGATTCCCCCACATCCTTCACTACAGAGTATGATGGTAGGATTTCATCTGGTAACTGTTCTAAATTTTCACCTGAACTTTTTTTCCCCTAGAATGATATTATCTTTCAAATTACACTCTAGAAGAATTCATCACTCTGACAATGTATCATTAATCAAAGTAAAGAGGGTTGATATTTTATAGCATTTTGGAATGGATGGCACCTTGTAGAAGTTAAGGTCCAAGAGTAAAAGTTTTAGTGTATTTCGAAAAATGATATACTTTATGGCAGTGTCAGTACTTCAAAACTCTAACTACTGTCATCATCCAAACCCCTTGCAATACAGCAATAAATTTTAATGATCTCATTGACATAGCCATGCCTCCTTTTGTGATCCAGAAGATCCAGCTGAAAGAAATTCACACATAGTTTACATCTATGTTACTTTGCAAGTCTGAAAAAAAAACAGTGGGAATATCTCCTTTCATAGAGCTAACCTTCATTGATTTTCCAGTTGTAAAATTTTAGAAGAGATTTATTTCCTCCACAGCCTTACATTAAAAACTAAAAGCTCTAAACACTGCAGAAGAGTTCTGTTAGTTAATTTGAATTTGCTAGCAAATAGATGTAGAGGTGGAGATGGAGACACACACATACACACACAAAAAAATGTGTTACAGCAGAACTTAAGAGACATAAATTCATTGGTTACAGTGATTGCTAAATATGGTTGGCACTAGGATAGCTTTGACTATAAAATCATCTCAGGAAGTTCAAGTTAGGTGTACTAATGGAAAATTTTTTAATTGTGTGTGTGTGTGTGTGTGTGTGTGTGTGTGTGTGTGTGTATAAATAATTCTTTTTTTGGCCTGGCCTTTGAGAGAAGACTTCCTTCTCATACCAGGAATATTTTCCCACGTACAGTTTGTTCTTATTTCTTTGATGTGAATTACCTCACAGGCAACTAGTAAATAAGAAAATGATGTCAGTATAACTCCAGAGTTGTACTGATTCTTAAGTTTTTCTTTTTCAGCATGTCACTGTTTGGAAGCAATCAAGGGCAAGCTTTCCTGTAATTAAAGTCAAAACCTTAGCAATATATAAAGACCTTAAGAAAAAAAGCTGAAAATCTATAGAAATGCCTCTCAGTGCAAGTTCTGAGTGTTTTAATGGCTTCAACAACCATGCATTCCATTAAGTTAAGCTATCTAGAAAAAGTATGGTTGTAGATAAAGAAGCTGTAATGACACTCCCCCTGATTTCAAACAGTGGATCAATAAAGAAGGATATATTTTGATTCAGATTTTTCACTTTGATGAAAATGATCACTGTAGGAAGCAAATTACTACCAGGACCTACATCACAGAGAAGGAAGCACAACTAGGCTACACATACTAGTGTTTTAACTAATATTGTTAACTGTTTTTGTTAGGGCTCTGGTTACAAAATGCCATTGGATTTGAGTGTTCTTCCCCTAAGCCTAATTTTCCCTCAAGCCCTGTTAATTAGGCAGGCAATTGTCCATAATGGGAAGTTTTTCAGGAATCATATGTCATGTTATGGATATGTGTATATGAAAGAATTATGCTTCAATTTATAGTAAAATAAACTTTTTATTAAAAATCACCTACCCCACCTCCTGCGGGGCTCTCTGTGAAAAATATTCTCTGACCTGAATCCTTCATGTCTTGATAGTCAAAAACTTAAGAGTATTTCATTGTATGGATGCATCATAATTATTTTTACCAGTCTCTCATTGATGGACATGTAGGTTGTTTCTAATCTCTTGCAGTTATAACAGTGCTGCAGTATATAACACATTACATGGAACAGCAGTTCTCAAACATTTTAGTCTCAAAACTACTTTACCTTCTTAAGCATAAGTTGTGAATTTGGACTTACAAAAAATTTAATAATGATCAGAATTTTGTTTCTGATAAAATAAAATTTATAAGAAAGTTGCTCAGTTTATATTTGACATTGTCACCCTATGTAGATATTTAACATGACATAATAAAACTAAATTATATTATGAATCAAATATTTAACTTTTTAAACAAGGACTTTCAAAACAAGGAACTAAAAATCTTGAAAATTTTATCAGGTCCTCATATTCCTAATTTTAATAGGTTTTAATTCACAAGTACTAGTTAATACCTCATTAATCTGCCAGATTAGAGTAGGGATGAAAGGGCCCCCCTACTAAGGAAACAGCATATGCAAAGCTTGAGAATAAATGAGACCATGGTTTAAAAATATAGGTTAGCATAGTCTTTGGTTAAAATCAATTTGATTGATTTTCAGTCAAGATGGCAGAATAGATGGTCCCCAGTGTCACTCTCTCCCACAAATCAACCAATTTACAATTATAAAAATGCAACAACAGCCAAGCTGGGGCTGCTAGAGCTCAGGGGAAGAGGAGGAGAGACCTACAGAGTGCATGAAGCCGGGGAGAAGCCACAATGAGAGAAAGAAAAATCCACTCTGACCATTTTGTGCTGTGGCCGCTTTAAGGCCGGAGCTGCTGAGTGCATGGATCAAGAGCTGGCAAAAGCCACTACTGTGCCCTTTGGATGCAGTTGCTTGGAGCTGGCAAGGGAGAAGGGGGCCTTGGTGGCACCCAGGCCCTCAAGGCCACTAACAGGGTTCTTGTGGACCCACATAGTAGTGAGGAGCCACAACTGAACAAAAGGAGCCACTCAGAGGCCGGTGAGTCATCATAAGGGACCAGAGCACAGTCTTTCCCATGGGAAGTGTTTGCAGCATGGGCGGCAGGGGAGACAGGCCCACCAGGGGAACACTGGGGCACAGCAAGGACAGCCGACCAGCAAGGTCAACCATTAAAACCTGAGCTGCACAAAAAGCATTCCCTAGGGAATCAGCAGCAAAGCAGCAATTTAGTTCAACCACACAGCTCAAGAACTGGTCCCCATAGGATATTCCCCCATTTTAGAAGTAAGCAAAGGACAAAAAATTAGTTCCTGCTCAGGCACACTGCCAGCACCTCGGGGCCCGCCCAGGGACCTGAAGTCTGGAGCCAGGGACCAGACCCCCCTCCCACAGCCAGACACAATGCCAACGCCTCAGGGCCCACCCTGGAACCTGAGGTATGAAGTTGGAGACCAGACCTTCCCCTACAATCAGGCACACCACCAGTGCC